TAACATAGGTATAATCAAACAATCGCTCAAATATACACTAAAACAAATCTCAAAGTGGGCAGACGACTGGGGTTTCAAAATTTCGGAAGGGAAAACAGTAGCAATAATGTTTCATCCGACTGACACTAACAGGAAAATAGACTTAAAACTTAACGACTCAAAAATTGAATTCAAAACAGAAGCCAAATTTTTAGGAATGATATTTGACTCCAAACTTTCTTGGAAACCACACATAGATAGCATAGTGGGTCGCACATCAAAAACACTCAACTTAATGAAATACGTCAGTGGAATGCAATGGGGCGCAAATAGAAGCACTCTTATGTTAATATAAAGAGCACTTATCCGCTCGGTATTCGACTACGGATGTCTGGCTTATGCAAATGCAAGTGATACACAACTAAATAAATTGAACATAATACAAGGTAAAGCATTAAGACTAGTAACAAGAGCAGCAATAGGAACCAAAACAGTTGTCCGTTTACAAGAGATGGGAGAACTCCCGCTCGATCTCAGGCGAGAGGAACTGTCACTCAAGTACTGGGGTAAACTGCAAATGCTAAAAGAAAAATGTCCGACATATAAGTGCCTCCAACAATTCAAACGCATAGGCTATAGAAAAAATACGCGTCCCATGACATTCGGGCAAATGTCAAACGATGTCTTAAATAAGCACGGTTTAAAAGGAACAATCATAGAAACAAAAACTTATCCCGTCACTCCACCCTGGCAACTAAGCGATCCAATCATCAACACGCACCTAATAAACGTTACAAACAAACACGCTAATCCCATAGAGGCTAGAGCACTAGCATTAGAACTAATAGACACCAAATGGGCAGACTATCTCAAAATCTATACAGATGGATCGAAAAATAATACACAGGGATCAACAGGGTACGGCATTTTCATACCCAAAGCAAAGCTAAACATCAGGAAAAGGATACCAGAACATTGTTCTGTGTACACCGCAGAACTGATGGCCATTAAAACTGCAATAGAATGGCTAGCCACACAAACACACCAAAAAGCCGTTATCCTATCAGACTCCCTAAGTAGCATCAAATCCATCGAATCAGACTATTCCAAAAGCAGACAGGGCATAATCCACCAAATTAGGGATATTAATCAAACAATCAAAAATAACGAAAGAGAGGTAGTCCTTGCATGGATCCCCTCCCACATCAATATCTTCGGCAATGAACAAGCTGACAAGCTAGCCAAGGAAGGGTTGTCATTAAATGATATAGAAAATTTAGAATACAGCAGTCAGGAATTCACAAGCATAGCTAAAGATAAAATTAAAAATGCATGGAAGACCCGTCTAAACCAAGAGAACACTCATCGCTATCAAATTGATAGCAATCTTGTAGGCAAGGTTTACATCAATCATCCCTCAATCAAAATATGCAAACTCATCACGAGGCTTAAAACGATAAACGTAATAAAAGACTTCACCTATACACCAATTAAATGCTCACGTGGACAAATTGCGACCACGTCACACCTGCTAATCAACTGTAATCAATTGAACAAAGAACGTAAATCCGTAATTAAGAATCTAGCAGAGAGGGGAAACACGCTCTGTCTCAAATCTCTCCTTTCTCCACAACCCGATATCACCTCGGTGGAAGCGGACGTAAAATACAACTAACACTAACTAACTAACAACCCGACGACAGATACTGGACATCACAACTTGTCTGGGATTTTATTGAGAACATAGGGATGACCAAATATATAAAATAATAAAATTAATCAATTAAACAGTAGGGCGGAACGTAAAAATGTCCTCTAGAAGGAAGCGTAAACCGTCCTACACTAATAATAAATATAGGCACGACCAAATACATAAAATAATAAAATTAATCAATTAACAGTTGGGCGGAGCGTAAAAATGTCCTCTAGAAGGAAGCGTAAACCGCCCTACACTACTAATAAAACTCCGATAAAATTAATAAATCAAATAACAAAATTAACCAATTAACAGTAGGGCGGAACGTAAAAATGTCCTCTAGAAGGAAGCGTAAACCGCCTTACACCACTAATACTACTCCGATAAAATTAATAAATCAATCAATAAAATTAATCAACTAACAGTAGGGCGGATCGTAAAAATGTCCTCTAGAAGGAAGCGTAAATCGCCCTACACTACTAATTTACCATTTACCATTAATCTACCATTAATATAATTCATGAGTAATTTATTATTCTTATTATTTATTTGCAATTCATTATTTTCTTCTATTCCACTTATTATTCTTATTATTAGTTTATAATGCCCCCCCCCCCCCCCCCACCGAAGCCTTACTAGACGAAATAACAACAAAACCACAGTAAGACCAGATACTCTCTTTTCTCTAGCTTTCTTTTTCAGGTGCTGGATTCTTCCTTCAGAGAACCAACAATAAAAGGAATGGATAACAGAAACAAAGATGTAACAACGCCACCATACCGGACAACAAACCCAAATGGAAGGAAGAATGGACCAGGACTCATACTCACCAACAAGCCCCAAGGAAGAGTTGCACCGCCCTGCCATTCTACCGGACAGAACGACCAGACCAACACAAACGACCTAATAAGTATATATATGTACATAATATGTTCATGTCTGTGAAAATGTCCGTCATTGTCCATGCCTGTTCTGTCAAAAATTCGTATGTTTGTGAACGTCTACTGGCACTTTTTTCGTCCTTTGCACATGTTATCCTACTGTTGTCTATTGTCCTATGTACATATATATGAAAAAACCTAATTATCCTATTTTTCTCACTAATCACATTGTAAATTAATGCACCTTGTATACCTAACATGTTATTGTCTGTGATATCACCTCGGTGGAAGCGGACGTAAAATACAACTAACTACTACTACTCAATTTCTTCACAATACAGTATTGGAACTTAAACTCTCTCTTCTGTTTTAATTCAAGGTACGGTTTAAGCCACGTTATTCTGTTTTGCCGTCCTCATCAGCTAAAATGTTATTTACATTATTTATTCTTACATGATTTTATTCTCCATTATATTTTATTTAGCCAAACATTATTTCTTGTATATAATATGTAATTTCTCATATGTATGTTAAATGTTTATAAGTTGCGATTGGTTTAATTATTGACTTATTTAAGCATAGGCTACTAGTAGATATTGGACAGCCATAGTTCTATTTTTATTTCACGTATAAATATTCGTTAACCTTTTTGTACTATATTTTATCACTTCGTATTAACCATGGCAACATATGGTTCGCAAATTGTATTCGTTAGTCAATGTTCAGTTTGAGCTCAAAAGTGTTGGCTGCACTTTAATATGCGCGCTAAATCATATTTATTTTTATGTATGAGCGTAAATTGCATATGTAAGCTTTAAGAGCTAAATCAAACGAACAAATGATTAGCTAAATATAGATGTAACCATGGCCGCAGATCTTATTAAATTTTTTTTTTGGGGGGGGGGGCGGAGTTGGCGGAGCCCGACACACGGCTAGCGCCGCAGGCGCGAACCGTTCTGCGGGGGGTCTGGGGGTCCTCCGCCATAAAATTTTGAAAGCAGGATGCCTGAAAACGCTATCTGAGACCATTTCTGAGCATTTTGCAGAGATGAACGTACCGAGAATAAATTGTCGTTTTTGAGCGAGAATAATCAATACGAATACGGTAAAAAATAGTTATGAGGGCTTAGAGTGCAGGCGGACTGGTTATATTATAGAGGGGTAGATTATAGGCAGTCACTTAGAATTGGCTAAATACACGTGGCAGCCTTTTCAGATTAATATCCCTTGATATAATCTTTAGTTCATTGTTTTAAAATAAATTAATCACCCTCATAAATTAAGTTGGCTACCATGTTGAGAGAGTTATGTCTACCAATACTGTATTTCCCAAATGAAGCAGAACTAAAGGATTAACTAAAACAATGGATGTCAATTAGGCCTGAAGCACTCGGACCATGGCAGGTTTAAACCCCATGTGACCACAACTGACTAATCAGGTGTCTTCGATGAGTTAATCCTTAACCTGCCTTTAAATACGAATGTTGGACTCAGCTTCTTCACAATACAGTATTGGAACTTAAACTCTCTTCTGTTTTAATTCAAGGTAAGCCACGTTATTCTGTTTTGCTGTCCTCATCCGCTAAAATGTTATTTACATATATATATTCTTACATGATTTTATTCTCCATTATATTTTATTTAGTCAAACATTACTTCTTGTATATATGTTATTTCCCCTACGTTAGTTATCTTATATATTTATAAGTTTCGCTTGGTTTAATTATTTACTTATTAAGCATAGGTTACGGATCACATATTAGACAGCCGTAATGGTATTTTTTAATTTTACGTTTAAATGTTCGTTAAGCTTTTTCACTATATTTCAATACTTACTAACCATGGCAGCATATGGTTTATAAAATATATTCGTTAGTCTATGTTCAGTTTGAGCTTAAAAGTGTTGGCTGCACTTTAATATGCGCGCTAAATCGTATATACTTTTCATATATAAGCGTAAGTTGCATATGTAAGCTGTAAGAGCTAAATCAAACAAGCAAATGATTAACCAAATTTAGATGCATTTTATTTACGTCTATATGACACATCGGCAGCTACGCCACCTATCCGGAACACGTGTCGCCTCCTATAATTATACGTGTAACAAATAGTGCCTCTGCACAGCCAAGTGAGTTAGCCCCCCCCCCCCATTCCTTTTATAAATCATAGTTCATTTTGTTAATCTATTATCTTAAAATTGTATATTATATTGATTTTGTATTTTATTATGATTTGAGACAATACAGTATTGGAACTTAAACTCTCTTCTGTTTTAATTCAAGGAACGCATAAAACAAATTACTACGGCGTATGACACGAACACGCCCCTTTAAAATTGGTGGAGTATTGCCTTTAAAGAGACCGTATGAATCAAGAAACAGGAGCGACACCAGACAACTATAAAAACAAAATTTTAACACGAAGTGCTACCGCATCTACGTCATCAACGACGAGTACAAACACAGTGGTGCAAAGTGCATCACAATCATCAACACAAACCAACAGTAAAAACAGGACAATGAATCAAGCTCACTTTACCATTCCAACTTTTCATGGATTAAAGTCAGAAAACGCTACACTTTGGCTCAAAAATGTGGAATTGTATTGTTCTATGCAATCATTAGACGATGACCGCCAATTACCAACAATTATTTTACATCTCCGCGACGGTGCAAGACGGTGGTACGATAATCTTGAACCACGTGTGCAACATGACTTAAAACTGTTAAAAGAACAATTTCTTAAATCATATCAACCAAGTACATTTGTTGATATGAGAGTGAACGCCCAAACAAACGGTGAAACTTGTGAGATGTTTTTAAATCGTGTAGAAAAAAAGTATCACTACACAAATATGGACGAACGGGTAATCATGGGCTTAGCTATTGAAGGACTTCTACCCAACATTAAAAGTCACGTAGTGCTACAACAGCCATCCACATGGCAAGAACTGAAAAGTGCGTGCTATCTCGTAGAAAGCACAATTCCTACGCAACCCAATGTATCTATGGTGACCCAGGACATTAATAAAGATATCATTGGCGCTATAGCAGAAGGCGTGGCCAAGAAACTAAAGCATGAAAATGAACAATTTACGCACCACCCTACACAATATTATGAACAAAGTGATCAGGTACAAGTACCTGATAATCATTACGAAGTAAATTATACTTCACACCAGTACCGCCAACCAAATCGTCAGGTACATGATTTTACCGGACACCAGGGACAACACCAAACTAATTTCCATCTACCTCCAAGACAGAGCAATTACCATTCTAGAGGCAATGGTTACCAACAGAATTCATCACATCATCAACCTCATCGACATAATAATTACCAGTCTAGAACCAGTGGTTACCAAACAAATTCTTCATATCCATGCCGATATTGTGGTGAGTACTGTTCTCCTATTAAACCATGTGAAGGACCAAATTATTTCTGTACACACTGTAAACGTCCAGGCCATCATATCAATTTTTGTAATAACAAGAAAGCTGGTCGACGTCCATTTACGCGCCCATAGGATAAGGCGCCTGGCTCTAAGAATACTTGGAACAGGCATACCAACGAAAACGAAAAAGTAATTTCACTAATTGCACCTATTGACGATAACGTACTGCAGATTAATATTAATAACATTGAAGTAAAGGGCATTTTAGATACTGGAGCACAAATTTCCTGTATTTCTCAACCTTTGATACATTCTTTGGGTTTAGGAAATCTCCCTATTGACAAATCGAATTATCACAAAGTAATAGGAGTTGGAGGTGAGAAACACATAATTACAGGCACAGTCATAATTCCGTTCAAAATAAGAGACATTACGTATACAAATACATTTTACATAATGCCATATTTGCACCATCCTCTGATATTGGGTATGGAATTCATAAAAAAATGTAAACTTAAATGGAATTTCGAAAATGGCACTCTATTTCTTGAAGACAAGATTGACGATTCCATTGACGGTTCTAACGCCACGCCTGATTCCCATGAACAAAAGACAGAAAAACAATGCTTCATGGGTCTTGTAACGACGCAATCTCCCATTACAATTGGCGCCATGGGTGAAACTGAAATTCCTGTTCGGCTCACCAAAGCACCAAGAAATTGTCTGGCACTATTGGAACCGTCTTCAAGATTAAATAAGTTCAATTTAGCAGGAGCGAAATGCCTAACCAGAATTGATGATGGGAAGTCTGTCTTCCGACTCCTTAATCCAACAGACAAACCAATTCAGCTGCCAAAGAACCAAGTCTTAGCCTATGCCACAGAAGTTCAGGATGGAGATATTCAAGACAACATAGATGATGAGAATTCTAACTCTACTTCGGACACACAGTTAACTGCTAAACCAGTGCCAAATTCTAACCCAAGTTCAGGTGAGATTCACTTTGATTTATCCGATTCAGACTTAAACCAAGGCCAAAAAGAAACTCTTCGGAAATTCCTACAAGGACAGAGACACGTATTCGCCACTGATTTGCATGAGCTAGGCAAAACAGATATCTACAAACATTCCATTGACACAGGCGACGCGCCTCCCGTTAGAATGCAATTCTACAGACAGTCTCCTGAAATACGAGCAGAATGTTCACGACAAACCTCAGACATGTTGAAGTCAAACATCATTCGCAAAAGCAATTCCACCTGGAGGTCACCGGTTGTCCTAGTGAAAAAGTCTAATGGTGAGTACAGATTTGCTGTGGATTATAGAAAACTTAACAACATCACAAAGAGTACCTTCTTTCCACTCATACGTCTTGACGATGTGATAGACTGTATAGGACAGGCCAAAGCCAACATATTCACTGTTCTCGATTGTGCTAGTGGCTTCTGGCAGATTGAAATGGAGGAAAATTCCAAGCACAAAGCCGCCTTCATCACGACAGATGGTGTTTTCGAGTGGCAAAGAATGCCATTTGGGCTTAAAAACGCGCCAATGAGCTTCCAGATGGTAATGTCAGACATACTAAAAGAAATGAATTGGCAATATGTCTTGGTATACGTTGACGATATAATAGTTTTCTCCAAGAATTTTGACGAACACCTTCAGCACTTGCAAAGCGTCTTCAACAAACTGTCTAATGCAGGAATGACACTCAAACCTTCGAAATGCAAGTTTGCTGCAAAACGCGTAAAGTATCTTGGTCACCTATTCTCAGCACAAGGAATTGAAGTCGATCATTCAAAAACAGAAGCCATTCAAACTATTCCAGTTCCAAAATCCCAGTCAGATGTTCGTTCTTTCTTAGGCTTGTGTAACTATTATAGAAAATTCGTCAAGGATTACTCTAAGATAGCTAATCCTCTCAATCAGCTGCTCCAAAAAGACATTGAATTTCGGTGGTCTGACGACTGTCAAACGGCATTCCAAGCTCTAAAAATTAAATTAACGTCAGCACCTGTTCTTGCGTACCCAGATATGAATAAGCCTTTCATTCTCACAACAGATGCTTCAGGCTATGCCATCGGATTTATACTTGGTCAAATAGGTGACGATGGCATAGAACGAGCTATTCATTACGGTGGAAGATCCCTTACTCAGCATGAAAAGAAGTGGTGTGTATCTGAACAAGAATGCCTTGCCGTTCTAGAAGGCATTAGAAATTTTAATGTCTATCTAACAAACACCAAGTTCACCGTCATCACTGACCACAAAGCCCTTACATCACTAAAGACCTTGAAAACAACGGGTAATAGTCGTTTAGTTCGATGGGCTTTAGAAATTCAAGGGTACGATTTTGAAATCGTCCACAAACCCGGTAAAAAGAACATCAATGCCGATGCGCTTTCTCGCAGAATTTACCCCGAGGAGACGGTGGAACAAGAAGAAGTTCAGATTCCCGAAATAAACTGCGTTGCAGCAAGTCCACATAAAAGGTATGAAACTACTTTTACCTATGAAGGGGACCTGGATGAACCTTTCGTAGGACATATTTCTACTTTTCAAGATCAGCTTTCAGACAACAAAATAGCAGACAATCAACGTCAATGCCCTGACTTTGAATATATCATCGATTACATTGAAACCGGGTCAATTCCCCCAGAATTCTCAGAAGGCGAGGCAAAAGGTTTATCTGCTAAAGCTGGGCAGTACGATATCAAAAATGGAGTTCTGTATCATTTTTACCAACCAAGAAGAAAGAAGCCAAACCAACGTGTTCCCCTGACCCCAATGCCTGTTGAAGAACCGTTCTCTCGCCTTCATATTGATTTTATTGGGCCATTACCAACAAGCGAAGGTGGTTTCAAACATGCTCTTCTGATCGTTGATGCCTATACGGGTTGGACAGAATGCTTGGCCACAAAAACGCAAGATGCACCGGAAGTTGCACGCATTCTATATACCGAAATATTCACACGGTATGGTTTTCCAAGAACTCTAGTAAGCGATCGCGGGGCAGCGTTCATGTCCAAACTCGTTGGCGCGGTCTGTGAACTGTTCTAGGTCAAGAAGGTTAGTACCAGCTCGTATCACCCTCAAACCAACGCCACCCGTGAACGTCGTAACGCGGATATTGAGAAATGTATACGAGCATATTGTAACGATCAACAGACCAACTGGCCGTCTATACTACCTTCCATCATGATGTCCTTTCGAGCAAGCTTATCACAAACGACTGAATTCTCTCCATTCCATCTTGTCTTTGGAAGGGAAATGGTTTTTCCATTCGATTTGGAGATGATACCTAAAGAGACAATAGGTAAAAACGCTGTATCGCACGTCAAGCAGCTACAGGAACACCTGAAAATTGCCCGTGAGATAGCTACCGAGAACACAAAGCGGCGACAAGACATTAATAAGATCTATCACGACAAACGAGCGAAGATTCCGACTTTTAAGATAGGAGACAAAGTTTGGCTTTCCAATGTCAAGAAGAAAAAGGGTCTTTCACCAAAACTTCAACCGAAGTACATTGGCCCATACTACATCGTTCTTGAGGGGCCTAATTTCACCTACAAGTTACGAAGTTGCGAAAATGACAAGGAGGAGCCTTCATTTACCAACGCAAGTCGGCTAAAACCCTTTCTTAGCGAAGAGGATTCAACCGCAAACAAGTTAGTCCCATCGCAAGTCGACACACCCGCGACGAACGATTCACTTCCGTCGGACAAGCAGCTTACATCCGATGCACCACCTGTGTGTACTTCTGCCGATGGAAGCCAACAAATGATACATTCAAACAAGGATACACCTGCATTAGTTGACAACACCCCTGATGATAATTCGGTTTACGACGTATTAACCCAGGTAGACCCACCAACAGGTCAGAAACCGGACGTCACCAAGATACTGAGTTCTCACATGCACATGGGAAACAGGGAGTATCGTGTTAAAATCAAGGACCAAAGAGATTCGTGTTGGCTTTCTGCTGATAAAATTGACTCCGATATGATCCAGAGTTTCCACATCAAAAAGACCGTGGATGGTAAAGCCAGGAGACGAAAATTCCGAACTCGTTACTTTACAAAATCAAGTTAAATCTCGTAAAATTTTATCTTTCTTTATAATGATAGTTATACCAATTTGTTATAAGAGAGACCCTCCTCTCTGTTTCATAGTGCTGCGGATAAATGCAGAGTACCGTATTTACCCATTCTTGTTATTCATTGGATATAACTATCATCTTTCACTTTCGTATACTTACAGATTCATCCCGTACATGGATTCTTTTCATCATTGGACTAATTCTTCTTCCAACTGCGTCTCCCAAGGTCATTCAACGGATCAACTACGGTGTTCTTTTCAAGCCCGCGCGTGCCCAGACCGTGACATTCGGTGTGGACAATTGGATTCATACATTTGAATTAGCCCTTCCAATCGTTCCAGCCATGCCAGCCAACGTACACTGCCAACACCATAACGACACATGTGCCTTCATTCAACAGATTATTCAGACATTGAACCAAATCAAGGCCCAGACAGCTTCTAACCTAAATAATACGAACATTCAGATCAAGAAGCTAATTCCGGAGATAACATCTGTAACAAAGGTTAGATCCAAGCGAGCAATTCTCGGATTCATTGGCCAAATCTCTCGGAGTCTATTTGGCACGGCTACAGTAAAGGATGTTGATCTACTAGCAAAACATATTAATGCTTTATCGAGACAAAATCACAAGATCGCACAGGAATTGACCCAGCACGCCGATCACTTTTCTTCGTTTATGTCAACAGTGGATCATCGTATCAACAATGCGATACTGGGCATTAAACAAAACCATGATGCCATAGTATTTGCAACGAATAACATCCAAACAACCTACAACAATATGAGAGAAACATTTGTTGCAATGTCCCATTTACTCACGGACCAAATGCAACAGGCCACGGTAGTGAATGCTTATGTTGAAGATCTTAAATTAGGTATTCATTCACTGGTACAAAATAAATTGTCGCCATTAATAGTGCCACCGCATACATTGCAACGTACTCTCCATCAAATTCACAATTTGATCACGAGGAAATACCCTCAATTTAAGCTCCTTCAACCACACGCTCAGTATTATTATTCTAATGCCCAATTTATTCTTTCACGTAACCGTAGTAAACTATATATATCATTAAAAGTACCAATAATAAGCAACACTCATCATCTTAATTTATATGAAATTGTGTCTCTGCCTGTACCAATCAACGCCTCCTCCTCTCATGTGACCCAACTCTTGGACTTGCAACAATATTTTGCCATATCTCACGATCACCAGCATTATGTTTCTTTTAACTTCAAACTTATTCAAAATTGTGAAGGTATAGACAACCTGTATTGTGTTAACAAGCTGGCATTGTCAGCTGGCACTGTGTCATCTTGCGAGCTCTCGCTCTTTTTAGACGATAAGCATGGGATTAGAAACTTGTGTAACTTCAGATTTCGAATGAATTCTTTGCCTAGCACTGTGTTAGAGTTAACGCCCTCTTCAGTTATACTGTATAACACCCCACTCATAGCCATAAACTGTGCTTCCGGTCAACGCATGGTTTTTCTGTGGCAGGAGATACAACTTTTCCTGCACCTATTAACGTTACTAATCTACCACAATTTCATATTTACCAGCACCAATTCTCATCACTAATAGCTGATGATAACGCAAATCATCTGAGTCTTAAACGCATGGTAAAACGCGCAAAACATGATTCTATTATATTCAAATCACTTTCGGAATCTATGATTAATAATGATGTTCCAATCGAGTCATCATTCTTTGATAATAAAAGTATTCTTGTTATCGCGTCAATGACATTATCTGTACTTTGTTCTTTGGCATGTATCTTCATTCTTTGTAAAATGCGCACACTCACAACAGCACTTGTATTAGCCAAGAAAGTCCAAGCCTCATCTGAGCTACCGTCATTCGATTACAAATTCCATGCGTCAGATACTACTGAAGACCTGGCTAACTCTTCGGATACACCATTGGATCATTTTGGCATAGTATCGATCCTTTTGTGTTGCATCATTGTTATGATGCTTTTATATAAATTATATTTTAAACGTAAGTCGCACCTTAAGTTACTTTTAGAGGTAACATCAGGCTCAGAGTGTGTTACCATCCCGATTGTTCACCTCCCACTATGTCCTTCATACTACACATTTAGTCACCCTTCATATATTTCTAATCTAAGAGTCTCCAACTCCTTTTGGCCTTATCTAACCCTCGACTATCCTAACCTCCAGTATATTAACAACATCACCAATACATCACACCCTGTAACTAACCGCGTAAGGATCTCCTTATCACAGGCGTATAAGTTGACGCGAATCTTAAGACAACAATTTAATGTCTACATATTGGTCGCGCATCAAAATTATCTATACGCCCTAGATCATAGTTCACAAAAACCCTATGTACAGTGATAACTTTGGGCATACGGTACCTTCACAGGGTTGAGAACGGTACTTCAATCTTAATTTACATTTCATTATTATATATTCATGTATATGTTATTTTTCTTGAATTTTTGGTTTTACTTGCTTAGCTTTTGAGGACAAAAGCAAAAACGAACACTGGGGATATTATAGAGGGGTAGATTATAGGCAGTCACTTAGAATTGGCTAAATACACGTGGCAGCCTTTTCAGATTAATATCCCTTGATATAATCTTTAGTTCATTGTTTTAAAATAAATTAATCACCCTCATAAATTAAGTTGGCTACCATGTTGAGAGAGTTATGTCTACCAATACTGTATTTCCCAAATGAAGCAGAACTAAAGGATTAACTAAAACAATGGATGTCAATTAGGCCTGAAGCACTCGGACCATGGCAGGTTTAAACCCCATGTGACCACAACTGACTAATCAGGTGTCTTCGATGAGTTAATCCTTAACCTGCCTTTAAATACGAATGTTGGACTCAGCTTCTTCACAATACAGTATTGGAACTTAAACTCTCTTCTGTTTTAATTCAAGGTAAGCCACGTTATTCTGTTTTGCTGTCCTCATCCGCTAAAATGTTATTTACATATATATATTCTTACATGATTTTATTCTCCATTATATTTTATTTAGTCAAACATTACTTCTTGTATATATGTTATTTCCCCTACGTTAGTTATCTTATATATTTATAAGTTTCGCTTGGTTTAATTATTTACTTATTAAGCATAGGTTACGGATCACATATTAGACAGCCGTAATGGTATTTTTTAATTTTACGTTTAAATGTTCGTTAAGCTTTTTCACTATATTTCAATACTTACTAACCATGGCAGCATATGGTTTATAAAATATATTCGTTAGTCTATGTTCAGTTTGAGCTTAAAAGTGTTGGCTGCACTTTAATATGCGCGCTAAATCGTATATACTTTTCATATATAAGCGTAAGTTGCATATGTAAGCTGTAAGAGCTAAATCAAACAAGCAAATGATTAACCAAATTTAGATGCATTTTATTTACGTCTATATGACACATCGGCAGCTACGCCACCTATCCGGAACACGTGTCGCCTCCTATAATTATACGTGTAACAAATAGTGCCTCTGCACAGCCAAGTGAGTTAGCTCCCCCCCCCCCCATTCCTTTTATAAATCATAGTTCATTTTGTTAATCTATTATCTTAAAATTGTATATTATATTGATTTTGTATTTTATTATGATTTGAGACAATACAGTATTGGAACTTAAACTCTCTTCTGTTTTAATTCAAGGAACGCATAAAACAAATTACTACGGCGTATGACACGAACACGCCCCTTTAAAATATTACAAAAGTTACAAATATTTATTAAGATACATTATGGGAGATTTTAATAGAGAGTTTGCCATTCTTGCTATAACAGTTCAAAAATAGATGATGAAAGAATAATATATTGAAAATTTCAGTCATATTACTTTATTCTGAACAAAGTTATCACCATTGTAATTTTTGATTAGAAATGGGAGTCAATTCTCTCTTCACCGTCTCCGAGAATAGACGATCGTTTGATTGACAGGCGTTAACACCACCTACATAATCTCGATTATTACTAATGTTTTCAATGGCTGTGGTTTGAGACGGGGTTGCAGTTCAATTCGTATCACATTTATTTTTACTACAAATGAAAAATAAGACTTTTAATATATAGATAAGAAGCGAAAGTTTGAAAGGAATGGACCAAATCAATGAGGCATATTGTTAGCCTGCGTGTACTCTTGTACTGTAACTGGTAGGCCTGGTAGGCCTGCGTAACTCCCGAACAGTGATCCAATGGAGCTGCAATTCAACTGGGGTGATGTTAGCTGCGATGTTTATCAATTTCTATAATTTTTCTGTAAACGCAAGTGACAAAAGAGCGTAGCCTATAATACCGACATCTAAACTCTCATTTTAACCACAACTAAACATAATATCAAGGCCGTATATATGTATATCGAACTTTCAATCAAATTGACTGACATGCGGCCTCGCTCAACAGCGGTCTCGCTTCGTACAATCTATCATTTAGCCTCGATCTAAAATTATTTCCGGGAGTATGACGTCAACGTAACGGTTAATCTCCGCTTACGACGCCATTTAAAAATGTAATAAATCAACGAAATCCTGTTTAAATCCTAGCCGAATCTAAGCCATCCGTGGGTCTACAGAGTTGATTTTGTGCTTGTTGTGTAAATAAAGATCTAATTTATAATTTTTATGACATCTGAAGCCTAAATAAAGACTTGCAATAATCTGATTTAGCTCTTGCATAATGTATGTTTATTAAACTTTAAAAATATAAACAGTAAACCACAGATGATATGGACTGATTAATCAAAGAAGTCCTCGCAATATAGGGATATAGGTAGGCTACTAAATTGCCGATCACGAATGAAAATGTGATGAATAATTTCTCAAGTGGCCAGCTCTGAGCATAAGCTGCTGAGGTCATGAAGAGATCATTCTCAGATCTGGGTTACATCAAAGACCGGTCATTTTTGAACCAAGGGGAAATATCCTCAGCCTGAAAATAGGACTCAAGTTTTGGGAGACGCTGACAGAGTACGGCGGGCGAAGGCATACGCCACGTGCGCTACAGGCGCGCATTTAGCGGGGGTCTTGGTGCCTTCTCCGGAAGATTTTTTAAAATTAGGATGCCTCAAAATGCTATCTGAGACCATTTCTGGGCATTGTACATCGGCATGTTCGGAAATATAGGCTACGTTTCCCGGGCTGAAAATAAGACTTTTGAAATTTTATCGATGCATTTTTCTGGGGGGGGGGGGACGAGGCATATGAAATCCCCCCCCCCCCCAGTGAAAATCCAGGGGTGGGGGGACGCCTCCCCCCCCCCCCCCGGAATCTGCGGCCTTGAATGTAACTAATTTACGTCTAAATGACAATTCGGCAGCTACGCCCGCTTATCAAGTCCACGTGTCACCTCCTTCGCTTACCAATATAACGTGATTTACAAATAGTGCCTCTGCACAGCCAAGTGAGTTAGCCCCCCCCCCCCCATCCTTTTATAACTCATAGTTCATTTGTAAATCTATTGACTTAAAATTGTACATTATATTATATTGATTTTGTATTTTAATATGATTACACAATACAGTATTGGAACTTAAACTCTCTCTTCTGTTTTAATTCAAGGAACGCACAAAACAAATTAACTACGGCGTATGACACGAACACGCCCCTTTAAAATAGTTTATTGTGTTGTGATTGTAAGTGATTTGTCACCTTTTACAATGACAATATTTAAATTTAATATAGTCTTAAAAATAGTCATTGTATTGATATTTTGTTTAATCTTTTCAAGTTTTGTTTTGAAAATCATGTTATCCCCGACTTATGGAAAAAGAGTATAATTAAACCCATCAGTAAACCAGATACTGACCCCCGCAACCCCCTTGGATATCGAGGCATATCCCTAATCTCCATTCCGTGTAAGTTATATGCCGAAATCTTAAACTCTCGTTTCTCCAAATGGCTAGAAGCAAACAACCTTCTTGCTGATGAGCAGAATGGGTTCCGCAAAGAGAGGAGCACATTAGAGCATATCTATACTCTATTGTAAATAACAGAAAGGTATCCAAAAAGAGTACATTTATATGTTATATTGATGCCTTGAAGGCTTTTGATCGAATTCATAGAGACTGTCTATGGTACAAATTAATGAAGCTGGGTGTGAAAGGAAAGTTCTATAAAAATATAATATCTCTGTATGAAAATAATCGATCTGTTATCAACGTAAACGGGTATCTAACTGATGAATTTGAAGTTCACAGTGGTGTAAAACAATTTGGCTGCGTCCTATCCCCTACTTTATTTTCTGTTTTTATTAACGATTTAGTTGAAGAGATTAATAACCTTAAATGTGGTATTGAAATTGATAACAGTATAGTTAGTCTATTATTATATGCAGATGACATAGCTCTTTTAGCCCCAGACGAGGACTCGCTGCAGTGTATGCTGGACTGTGTTGCTAATTGGTGCGGTAAATGGCGAATCCAAATCAATATCTCAAAAACGAAAATCGTTCACTACCGCCCTAATTCAACCAGCAGGTCATGTAGAAAATTTACTTGTGGTAGTAACACCATTGATTACTCACATGCCTATAATATAAGTACTTGGGGTTATGGTTACACGAATCAGTTGACCTTATTTACACTGCAAAAGAGATAGCTAAATCTGCTAACAGAGCTCTGTGTACTATAATTAGTAAATTTAAATGTGTCGGGGGCATGTCATATGATGTTTTTAATACTCTGTATACTAATTTAGTCCAACCCATCTTATCCTACGGATCGGCAATTTGGGGCACTAGAGAATTTAGATGCGTTAATAACGTCCAGAATAGAGCCTGTCGTTTTTTCTTAGGCGTGGGAAGTAAAACACCAAATTTGGCAGTCCGTGGTGATATGGGTTGGACATCAAACTTTACAAAACAGAAAGTAGAAATTATTAGATTCTGGAGAAGATTATCATGTGTAGAATCAACACGCCTTGTTAGTAAGGTTAAGGTGTGGTCTTTTAAATTCAGAAAGTCCTGGAACAACACTGTAATAAATCTAATGGTTGAATTGCAAATCCCAATTCCTGATTTATTCAATATTCGCAAAACTATTTTTTTATCTCTAAAAGAAGCACTAAATGCGTTAGATTGTAGGCTCTGGTATCAGGGCCTATGGAATGATAAGGGGTTAATTAATGGTAACAAATTAAGAACATATAGGCTATTTAAGCACTCATTGTATGTCGAACCTTATGTAAAATGTATACTCGACAGATCGCAACGTAGTGTTTTAGCAAAATTACGTTGTGGGTCATTGCCTTTAGCAACAGAAACTGGACGTTTTGTAAGACCAGTGACATTATTAACAGACAGAAAATGTAATTATTGCCACACGTCAAATATAGAGGATGAGACTCACTTCTTGTGTACATGTGATTGCTACTTTGACCTGAGACGAAAGCTATGGAACGCCGCAGCCACCATAAACCCACATTTCCCAAC